GATTATGTAGAAGTTCCTCGCAGATTGACTTCGTATATAGAGGATGGCTTTACCTTTCAAACCTCCTGTGTGGTAATTTGATTTCTCCCAAAGGCTAGTTCAATTTCTCTCCATCAAGTAGAAATCGATTCTATACACAAGCATCGCTGGGAGGGAGTTTTATTGGGGGCTAAGGGGTACAATAGGAATATTTGCTAAAAATTAAGTATAAAGAATTTGTTTTTAGCTTCCAGTACATCAGTCCCGTTAATTTTACCGATTTCCGTCAGTGTTACAACTTAGTTCAAAGCACGGGGTGTCGTGTTGTATATTTTGAAACCATAGGGGGCTTAGTTGTGTATTAGATTTAGCACAGGGGGCTTTTTTGTTTTTAACCCTAAATTATAGTGTGCCATAACTTTCATGTTCATGAAAAGTTACACGTAGTTGGGACCAAGGTTCTTTATTTCTAAAGAATAAAGGAATTTTTGTTTTTTGTTTTTTGTTGGAAATAAAAAAGCAAGTTAACATGTGGACTATTTTACTTTGACAGTGCATTATGGTGGTGTATATATTAAAGATCCATAAGAGACATATGTAAGGGGTTGCATAGAAACATTTGAAGGAGTTAATCCAATGAGAGTTAGTACATCAATTTTGCATGACTTCTGCACTCTTGTGGGCTGTTCGAATGATTCAAAGATGATGTATAGAATCTCCCGTGAAACTAATGTGCTCAAGCTTTGGCCAATAGATGGCGAGGATCCTATAATAGATGTGGCTTGCATTGGTAAAAAATATGCAGAAGCTGATGTGTATGGTGTCCATGAATTCCACATAAGAGATATTAATAGCAACACTGGTCCAAGCGCAGTAACTGCTCTAGAAAATTCAACAAGAAGAAGATGGTTTACATGTGGATATAACCTTTGATGATGTTGAACTAGTTGACCTCAAAAACATACCAATTTATCTGGAACAAACGATGGAGCATGTAAAGTCCAAAAATGGAAAAACAGAGGCTGCTGAACATGGAGGAAATGATGATAATGAAGCTAATGATGCTGCCCATTCGGATTCATCCCTTGGTGAAAACATCCACGACAACAATTACGATTCTAGTCATGATGATGAAGATATGATATTCTATAGTGGCATTGCTCCTCCTGAGCAAGAGTTAGGTGGTTGAATTGGAAAGATTCAACCTGGTCGTAGAGGGAAAAATAGGGGCAAGAAGTGTAAAAACCATAAAATTCCAACACCTGCAGCTAAGAAGAAAAAACCTAGGGCCAAACCTGCTAGTTTTAAGGACCTGCACTTGGATGAAGGAGATCATATTCCGATCCATAAAGAATTTGAATCACTTGGCTTAGATGAGTTGAACAGTGACCACTCTTCCTCAGATGAAGACAGTAGAAAGAAAAGGAAGCCTAAGAAGCCTAGTCTAGTAAGGTTCAGGCCTGAAGTTGACATGGAAGATCCTAAATTCCATGTTGGACAAGTCTTTGATGATAAAAAGTTGTTCAAATTAGCAATGGACAACTACATAGTCAAGTGGGGCAAAGATATTCAGTAGGAAAAATAAGATGCCACATGGATGAGAGTTAAATGCAATGCAGAAGTTTGTGAATGGATGCTGTTTAAGATTGAATCAAGTGATGACTACCTTGTGATGAAAACTGTGGGACCTGAGCACTTGTGGCTGGATATTTTACCACGAGAGAGCCACTTCAGGTTTTCTAACTAGAAAGTATGCAGAATTTTTAATGTTGAATAAGAAAGTAACTGTTAAGGAATTTAAGGAGAAGGTGCATTTGGAACTTAATGTACACATCACCGTACTACAGGTCTACAAGATATTCATGAAAGCAAAGAATTTAGGGAATGAAGTTTTCTTAATATAGATCTTGCAATTGTAATTATAGTGTACTGATCTTGTGGGGGAAGCATAGAGAATGAACCGGATCATTGTTTTGTAAAAGTCTGCCTATGTTACCTTGGCTTGTATTTGTTGGCTAGACATGAACTAAAAGCTTGGCATTGATCTCTTTGGACGACTAGAATGTGTTGGTTATATGAAAACTTCCTATTGTCTTGTTTTGGCTAGACATTTGTCGAGTGTTACTTGGTTTAGTTATGTTAATGGAATATCAAATTTTAAGGTGAAATTCTGTCAAATATTTTTTAGACACCAAGTTGCCACAGCCTTTGCATATATCCAGATTTCTCAAATTGTCAAACCATTGCATATATTACTTAGACAATTGCTACATCAAATGGTTTACAATGCCTTACAACCACATTATAACCAAAAAAAATTAAGGCCAATCACAGCAACTTTGCAAGTTTCGTGGACAAAAGGCTAAATCTAACTACATAGCCTTCCCTAATTCATCTAAACTAACATTTGGAGCCCTAAGTCCAAGATAGCATGTCCTCTTTTGTCGTTGCCAACAAGCACAGTAGTTAACAAACGACAACAAAAACTATCAATTTGCCCTTATCTTTTAGCTTTTGAATTTCAGCCTTCATCATCTTGTTCTCTTCTTCCAACCTTGCAAGTTCAATTTTTTATGAACTGGTTCTCTTGTTTGGCTTTCCTTGGTTCCTTCAAGAATTTTGCCATCATATTTTTCGTCATCTTCGACATTGGTGGATCAAACCACAAAAAGCACTTGCAAGCCTTCGGTGGTTGTAATCAATATTAATACCCCCATTAGATGTAGAAATTAGATTGCCTATTATTGCAAATGGAACTAAATTAGAAATTACTACTAAATACCCATATCCAATTATATTGCCAAAAAAATTCCCCTCACATTTATTGACAAAATAAAAAAAAATATCCCATAATTCTTGCAACCGTGGAATCTTCTTCCAAGATTCGACAATGTCCATGTAGTAGCGATTTGACACGGTTCATTACAATCACAAAACGCAACCTCATCTCCATTGTAGTGATCTACCTTCCCTCTCTTCACCTCTGATAATTTTCCACTTTCTTCATTCTCATGATTTGATTGTTGGCAGCTGCTCGAACTTGATGCATCATTGAGGTAGTTTCTTCGCGGATGCATCTTATTGGAGCTTCTTCACAGAGAGAATTGAGAAATTGTGAGGAGCCCCAATGTCTTCAAAAACTAGATAGATGATTACGCCTTTATTTTAATGATCTTACTAATCTGTTTCGCTGATTAATTGCAAAAGATTTGGCTAGTGTGATGATTATGCCCCAATAGGTCCATGTGGATTGAGTAAAATGTAGTGAAAAGTCCTACATTGGATGTAAGAAACTTATTCAAGGACTAAATTGGTTAAAACAATTTATCAAGAACGAAATTGGTTTTAGTCAAAATATTCAGAGACTAAATTGGCGAAATTCCCCTCAAGCTACAACTGACCCAATATTTGCCCTTGAACACATTTTTACGTTTTCGTAAACACATTTTTCAATCTTTTTTTTTTTACCTTATATACGTCAAATTACTATATTACATTTTTTAAAATAAAAATTCCATAAAATAGTAATCCAAACAGAGGGCAGTTTGAGGGTTGCAATGGTTCTGATAAAAAAGTATTTTTGAGTGCTAAAATTACTTTTGAGTTTTGAGGCGTTTAGTAAATATCATCCCATAAAATTAAGCGTGGAACTTTTGGTGTTAAAAGCTCTCTTAGTAAAAGCTAAAATTTGGTGCTTTTAAAATAGTTTTTGTGTTTTATAATTGAAACATTAAATTTAATCATTTTATCGTATATTATGAACTAAAAAAAGATAAATACTTTTAAAAAATCTCAAATTATACATTATTCAATGCAATAAGTATTTATTTAATTATGTATCCAAACAATATATTTAAAAGCATTTAAACATTTAATAAGTACTTTATTAAAAGTTCTATTGGATAAACCACTTTTCAATAAATTATTGCAATCCCAAATCGACCCTTAGGTGTGTTAATGAACAATTGTTGAAAATCCCAAAACCGAATATCAATATAAAATTTGAGCTAGGTTGGATCAGCATAAAATCCCAAATACGAAAGAGCATTCCGTGTTAATTAAATTTTCAAACTTGACTTGATCTTGATTGGATTAGCATAATTTGGAATTTTATATGTCAAAACTTCAAGTTATTTGAGCTCAACTTGTTAATAGTTCGTTTTAGTTGAATTTAATAAATAAATCAATCAATTGTCAAAAGTATAACAAAAGTATTTGGTTTAATTCAAGTCATTTATACCTTTACCATGAATAAATCTATTTCTGCAAAAAATTTCAACCATCGAATCATGCAAATTTATCACAAAATGTTCATTAAAATATTTCCATATTAGTCACCAAATACTATAGTTAAAATAGTTATAGAATCTTGTAGTCATTATATACAGTGTTTTTCTTCATTTTTGTACGTGAATAGTGTCTTGTGTAGGTAATCCTTCCCTTGCTTCCGAAAACAACGCATAGCCCTTTTCTTTATAGCATTTTTTTTTACGCATAGTCCTTTTTAGCTTGATTGGATTGCAATTTTTAGAAGTTTTTGTAGGAAGATGTACCGTAGTAATTTAATATATGTGAGATAAAAAAGTGATTGAAAAATGTGTTCATAAAAAACATAAAAATTTTTTTTTTGTAAAAAATCACAATCCAAAATTTTTTCTTTTCTTTTTTTCCCATGTCTCTACTTCAAATATCATCCTTTTTTGCATCCAATAAAGCTTATATGCTCAAGAAATTTTTAAGGCTTAAAAGGAACCATGGAGAAGATTTTAGTATCATTTTAGACAGAATTCTATAATACATAAAGGGCATAATATAGTTTCTGGTGACATGTATGATGAAAATTGAAAACAAACAGTATCCACGCAAAAAAAAACAAAAAAAGCCCCGTACCAACTCAAAATAGGGGGACCCAAAAACAGGGATTTTGCCTAAAAAGGAAATATTAGACGGCCAAATCTAATTATCCAAGAAAGCAAGAAAATCCAAAATTAAATTCTTAAAAAAAAGGGCCAAATCTAAATTCTAGTCCCGGCATTGAACTCTCTCGGCAGCTCCCCATTTCTTCTTTATTCCTGCTTCTTTCTTCTTCTTCTTCGCTTCTTTCACACTCTTTCAGAGTCTTCAAACACAAAAACACACACTGATTTCACATAGTTAAACCTTCTACATACACCGATTCCCAACTCTACTCTCTCCTACATACAGATATATATATGTTATGTAAATTCGGCGTCGTTTAGTTCATCTCGATGCAGCTTCGGTTTTCGCGATTCCGCTCAGAACTCAGAATTTCAATTTCTTAAACCCTAATTTGCCCTTTTTTCCTTCTATTCATGCTTGCCATTGCCTAATACAATAATTTTGAAATTGGTTACCTCGTCGTTACCTCCAAAGTTTGCTGGTATATTGCCGATTCCTTTTTTTGTTTTTGCTTAATTCAAGTTATTAATTTTGTTTTATGAAATTGATTATTTTTGCTTATTCTGATTAATTTTTGTTAATTTTTTTTTTGGCAGATTGTTTGTTGGCTCTTTGGAGTAATTTTGGGGGGAGATGAAATCGAAGATAAAATGGGCGGCATTGGGAGGGCTAGTGTTATCATTTGTATCTTTGTTAGTGCATTTATTTCTTGCAAAGTCGAGTGCGAACATTGTTCATTACGCTGGAATTCCATTCATGACTAAAAGTTGGAGTCAATTCATTCCTGCTGAAGATGTTGAGGTAAATTAGGGATAAGAGGTTACTTGAGCATCTGAATATGACTGTATTTTTTATGGTGTTGTGTTGTTTTGAATAATTGGTAATAGGTTCCGGTGAATAAGAAGTTGTGGGGAAAGGTCAAGGCATTGGAAGGATTGCATCCATATGCGAAACCAAGAAGTGCATATCCTGGTAATGTGCGTCATAAATGCGGAGATTTTACTTTGTGAAATTTTAATTTTAATTATTAGTTAGGGTATAACTAGTTATTAGTTAGTTCAGCATCATTAACTTGTTTGCAAACATTCATTTTGGTAGTTTATTCCGCTTGTCTGTGCTTAGAAATGATCAATATCTAAGGTTTTTCTCAAGCAAAAGATAGGTTAAGAAAGCTGTATTTTAGAACGAGCTATAATCTTCAATGAAAACTACTCTCTTATATTATGGTGGCACTTCTGATTTTGTGTTTATATTTTGCATTTCGGTCTTCATTCTTCTGAATAAGTTTTGTGTTACTATCAACCCTTTTTCCACAAAACTTAGGATTTATCCTGAAAATTTCAAGTTTTGGTCCATATTCTGTTATTGCTTGCTTCCAGACATCTAAAGGTAGGTGTTTGCGCATTTACAATAGGAAAGTCAAAGGTGACAAAAAATGTGGCAATGCCTGTTAACATTTCACCTTGATTAATGGTAATGTCATACTGGACATCCTGTATTGTATCATCACCTGATGTTGCTTCCTTTATTTTGAGTTGTACTATTGTTGCCTCCATTTGACATCATTTTCTTTATTGTCTCAGTTCCAATCACACAGAACAATGGCTTCATTTATGCAAAAATCTTTGGGGGCTTTGAGAAGATCAGGAATTCAGTATGCTTAAATATTCCTCTTCTATTGGTTTGCATTTTCTTGTGCCTTTTTTCCCCTCGTTTCTTACCCTCACAAAGCTTGTAACCGTTGAGAAACATTTTAGATTTGTGACCTGGTCGCTGTTGCAAGACTTCTAAATGCTACCCTTGTTATCCCTGAGATTCAACAAAGTATTCGCTCAAAAGGAATCAGGTTGTTATTGTTTTTGAGCGAATAAAAACTAGAGTTATCTGCATGCTTGAGTGAATTTTAAAACTGTTATCTGCAAGTTGCAGTTCCAACTTCAAAAGCTTTTCATATATCTACAATGAGGAGCAGTTCATTGCAGCTCTAGCAACTGATGTAATCATTGTGAAGGATCTTCCCCCAAATCACAAGGATGCCAGAAAGCAGAAGCAATTTCCAACTTTCAGACCCCAACATTCAGCTCCTCCAAGCTTTTACCTGACCAATGTTTTACCCAAACTAAAGAAAGCTAAGGTCGTTGGGCTCATAGTTACTGATGGAGGATGCCTACAGGTCTCTCTCTCTCTCTCTCTCTCTATCTCTATCTCTCTCTTTAGTCCAATTAGACAATTGGTGGTGTTCAAGTGTAATTAGAGTTCCAACTATTCCTTTATGAACTCAATTATTGAACAGATTTTTTCTAACTGAATGTATTATGCATGCAACTTGGGTTGTGTCTAATAAAATTTTGAAAAGAAATAACTATGGGATTAAAGATATTACCTTAATTTGCTGTTATGCTAATAAATCCAATAGACTGCTGCTTCTAGACCAAAACTGAGAGTGGAAAGCCATTTTCCTGTTTGCTTCTGGCAAGCTTTCATTTTTTTTTCCTCTGTGCCTTTCGTTAAGCTTATAAATCTGGTTCTGAAGAGTGATCCTCGATTAGCCCATTTGGGCTCATATGTCAAGTCTGATCTTCAACGTGACATCATCCAAACTTCTTTCATGGGAATTTGTAGTTACACTGGCCTAACGAAAATCTCAGCAGTGCTTAGGTCCAACTATCTAAAATTCAGGACAGTCAGAGTCCAATTCAAGTTAAAATGTTATTGCTGTGCTGTAGGTAATGCCATAAAACATTCATATGCTTTTTAGCTGTGTGATTTGATTTTCAGATGTTAATGTTGAGGTATAATTATACTGATTTTCCTTGAGATATCATAATGGTTGAAATATCCATGGCCTTGAATTTTCTAAAGCTAAGGAAACTTGCCTACCAGTTTCATATCAAGTGCAACATGGTCAATTGTATTTAACTAACTGGAGTGTTTTAAAAACTACAGAAGGGAAGGCTGGACTATGTAAAATGTTGGCTAGATATTTCTTGTAAAAACGCTAGCCCGGGCCAGTTCATAATGAGAATATTTTAATCTTTGGTACTCTTCTTAATTGATATAAGTTCTTAAATTTTTTTGAACGTTGGTTTTGAAAACTGGGTCCTTATGTGGCCCTTGTTTTACGGAAGAATGTAGGATTACTAATATCAGCTTTTGTTTCTTCTTTGCTTTTCTTTAAGGTTGTTCAGTGAGTTGAAATACTTGCTCACCAGAGTGTTGTATAGCTCATACATGGTAGAGTAACATGAATTTTGCAGAATGTTAGATCATTATTTTCGTAGTTGCACCTTCTCAAATTTGTGAACTTTGTGGATGGTATTAAAGGCTTGGAACCTTCTGAAAATAGTTCACACTAGAACTTCTAATGTGCGTATCAAATGCGAAATAGTTGTGCAAGAAAACTAAAAGGACCTTTACAATAACAGCACTAGACTACTAGGATAGATGAAGAGAAATCATAAGAGTTTGAAGGGGATTAGCTTCTAGGCTACAAAATAGCCCAAGGGAGCTGATACAAGTTTAGGTAGTGAACTGATATCAAAACTGCGTGACTGCAGTCAATAAGATGAGTATGGGGATCCAAACATATTGTTGTCTTAAGAGTGACAAAAACAGAGAGACTCTTAATAAGGCACCTGCCTAGAAGATGTGCACCAGCTGTGCAGAACAGTTAATAATGCTACTGCATGCTTAGCAGCAAATAATAACAAATAATATACTAATGAAAACAAATTAAGATCTAAAATGCTCCAGCATCAGAAAGGAACCCTGAAGAGAATATATAGTTTATTCTTATAACTTTCTTGAATGTGCAGAAAAGACATAAATGTCATATTTACCATTACCTAATTTGCAGTTTAACATTAGAATTTATTTTGCAGTTCTGTGATCTTTTAGTTATATCTGGAACATAATAAAAAAGGTGTGAAAGTAGTGTCTGAAGTGGTTCCTCCTTGATTTATATGTATTTGCTTAACCTTGTATTTGTCATGTGGTGTACTTTTTCATCATCTCAAATGTAAGGATATATTCATGCATCATCTGAACATTAACTGTAATTTACATATGCAAAGTTCACTAATTGCCCTAACTGGCCAAAGGTGTTTACTTTGTCACTACTTGCAGTCCATTCTTCCTAATAGCCTGGGTGAATACCAGAGGCTGAGATGTCGTGTTGCTTTTCATGCTCTTCAGTTCCGCTCAGAAATTGTTGCACTTGGGCGCCTGATGGTACAAAGGTATCAAACCCTTCTAACTAGTTTTGTGGAGAAATTGGGTTTGGTTGCAATTGTCAGTGATTGTATTCCAAGGATTATGAGATTTCAATAATAATTGTTGAAGCTTTTTTTTTTTGGTTACATTATTATTCTATATTTTTTTTGGGAACAGTAACATGTAAACCCAAATATCTAGTCCATGCTGTAGACTGTGGTTGTTTTTTGTTTTGCTTGCTCTTTGTTGGGATAGAATATTTATCATGCTCCAAAATTGAGGGTTTGAGTTGAGTTCGCTGAATTACCAATCATTGAAGTTGAATACATATCATACTAGGTACTCATGTCATGGTCTTAGTGGCTTCAAATTTAAAATTAAATGTGTTCCAAACCTTAGAGAGAGATTTGGAACTATCTTGTTTATATATTGCTAAAACATTCCTCAACACTAACAGACCTTTTCTCATTAACTTGATTTTTTTAACATGTCAAAATGTTTTAGCCACAGATATCCTATTTGTGATAAACATGAATTTCGTCAGTCCAAGTCTTGTTCATGTAGTACAAAATTTTTCCTAATATAAGAATTGTTCGTTTGAGGTGGCTGGACATTAGTGCTTTGCAATGCTCTTAAGCTCTTGAGGAATTCTTTATGTGCAGGTTACGCTATCCAGGTCATCCTTACCTTTCTTATCACCCTGGGCTTATAAGAGATACCCTAGCATATCATGGATGTGCTGAACTCTTTCAGGTCCTTTATAAATCTCCTTTCCTTTGTTTTCCATGTTCTTGTTTCTGATTGCTGTAATTTGACTCCTGTTGATGACAGCGATGGATGATGGATCAAGATGCTTAATGTGATGTGTAGGATAATCCAAGGGTGTTCCTCGAATTTTTGTTGTTTATTAATCAAGCATGGATATATTGTCCTGCTTGACAGTTAGATCTTGAAGTGTCTTCCAAATATTGCTGCAGTTCAGATTTTATGCTTTCCTTCAATGTTTTGAGTTAACTTTTTATGTTCATTTGTGGTATAGGACATTCATTCTGAGCTGATACAGTATCGGCGGAAGCAGTTAATCAAACAGGGGATTGTTAATCAAGAATTAAGTGTTGATTCATATGCTCAAAAAGCAAATGGCTCATGCCCACTTATGCCAGAAGAGGTACAGGCAGCTATTTCATATGGTTTATTTTGTCCTTGTTTGTCACTGTTTTTCTTTCTATGACTTAACATATATCTGATTTCAAGCATTCTTTTCCAATACATTTGCTGAAGCACCAATTGACGACTTTTTGATACCACGTCGTTTGATTATCTGCCCCTAAAATTGACTGCCTATTGATGTCCTAAGAACATCTTTAAGTGTCCAAATTGAACTTGGCACTCCTCTCCCAGGAAATTCCTCACATTATTTGACATTAGTTTTTTTTATTTTTTTCAAGAATGTTTTACCTTATCTAAACAAAGCTATCTCTAACAATCAAAATTTTCATGTTAGAACTGTTAACTATAATTTTACAATGAGTAATGTACTGAATGACTTGGGGTGAATCTAGTAATTGGGCTTTAATTACCTGTGGCCAAAAGGGTTTTTTTTTTTGGGGGGGGGGGAGGGGGGTGGTAGTGGGGGAAGGGAAGAAAGATATGACAAGGTGACTAGTACATAAACCAAAGGAAAGAGAAGAAAGCTAGAGGAATTGTCCATGCTTGCCCATTGTTACCAAAGTTCCTCCAGAATAGAGGAATAGAGCATCAGTTTAAAGACAAATAGGAAGTCCTAAATCTCTATTTGCAAGAAGGCGAACAAGACTTGGAAAAGGACTCTGCATAGTCTGCACTTTTTTGACTTGTGTATCACGTGCATCTATTACATCTCAAATGACGCAATTCCTTGCGGTCATTGATACTTCCAATGGCTGAATTTGTGGTTCAACACCAATCGAAATATTGGTTTAAAGAACTGATGATTTATTATTCTTGAAGTAGACTAAGTCAGTTTAGACCTGCAGGACATGTAGATTGGAAAAAGGAAGAAGTATATATTCAGTTATCATGGTCTGATGCTAATTTAATCAAGTTTCGGATATATTATTAGACTTTTGTATTTTTTGCACCTGTCTGTAAACTTTGGTATGTGTCTTTTCTTTGATTACACGTAAAACTCCCTTTTTGCCTTTCTTAAAGATTACTTGCAAGCAACAAATACATTTTGTCCTTCAAGGATATTTTTTATTCTCCTGGTTTCCCTCAATGTTTCTTCCTCTATTTGTTATGAAATGAATGGGACACTTGTTGAGTGGACTCTGAAACACCTTCAAGCATTGTTCTAGAACACACAAGTCTTATGGACTCTGCTTCTTTCAAACCCTTTTGTTTCCACCACTGGGCTTTGGAAATGAAAATCTTAAAATGAAGAAAAATAAAGAAAAGCAAGTAACATCTTTTATTACTAGTAACTAGTGGTAGAAATTGTATTGTCGACAAAGTCCATTAATAGATCAAGGTTTGAGGAAAATGAGGGAGGACTGAGACAAAGTCTTAAAATAAATGAAGACCAAATTTATTTGTTGTTTTGGGGAGGGGGGTTGGCGGTCAATCATTTTTTCCTAATTTTCTTGTATATAATGGTGGCAGAACTTATTCTTCTAGCCTTTGTAGGTAGGGCTTCTGCTTCGAGCAATGGGCTATCCTCCAACAACTACGATCTATCTGGCCGGTTCTGAAACCTTTGGTGGTCAAAGGGTTTTGATTCCTTTACATGCGATGTATACCTACTTGGTGGATCGGACCTCTTTGTGCAGCAAACAAGAGCTGGATGATTTAATTGGCCCAGAAACCCCACTTCCTCCAGATCCACTTGAAGCTTTACCTGCAAAAAGTGTTAGGCAACAAAAAGAGGAATGGGAAAAGGCTGGTCCTCGCCCCAGGCCGCTTCCCCCCCCTCCTGATCGACCAATTTATCGGCACGAGAAAGAAGGTTGGTATGGCTGGGTTGCTGAAAATGATACAGAGCCAAACCCTTCGCCTTCTGATTTAAGGGAGCAGGCACATCGATTGTTATGGGATGCTCTTGATTACATTGTTTCAGTGGAAGCTGACGCATTTTTTCCTGGCTTTGACAATGATGGTAGTCAATGGCCTGATTTCTCTGGCTTGGTCATGGGACACCGGCTCTATGAGATGGCTTCTTCAAGAACGTTTCGACCAAACAGGTAAAACGTGCTATAGACTTCAGATCATCCTAGTAGATAATGAATTTTTGGACATTTCATGAAATTCTTTGAAGTCGTAATAATGCCTTTTTTCTCTGCATATGGTTCTTTCTTCAACTTAAATAGTGTGATATTTTGATCATTCTTGTGTTAAAAGTATTTTTATCAGGTATTGGATTGTCCTTGCTTTTAAAATTTGGGTGTGGTTTCCATTTCAGTATCATTTTGTGAGTTCATTAGGGATTTAAAAAATGCTGGAGGTTTAGTTTTCTAGCATGAAGGAACTTGATCAAGAATTTAGGCATATATAATAGAGGGAAACTCTTAATAGTGAATTGTGCATATGGCAAATATTACCCTTCATGGTCAAACTAGACATTCAACTTTCCCCCTACTACCATTTTCCACTCATACCATTATGTACTTAAGGGTAGTAGTACAAGTTAAAGGGGAGGTGAAGTGTCAAACAATAAGTTGAGTGCTAATATCACCACACATTTCTTCTTTTGAGATAAAATAGCTGTATAACATAAACTATCATGTCAAACCAGAAGTCTCGAAGGTAAAAGATTACAAATAATAATTTTGAACACACTTGCATCACAAACTTTGCAACCATGCTTCTTAAGCAATGCATCAGCCACATGTATACAGCATAATCCACAAACAGAAACATACCGCACAAAAACTCCATATCTGGAAAGGTCTACAGTCTGCCTAACTATAACCTTCTATATTACTTCTTCCATAACATTCAGAATATTGAAATGAAATATGAATCTTCAAACCTCACTGCCATTCAGTGTCATGAAGTAAAAATGCCTATGACCCTTAACAGCATACTCCCTTTGCCGCGCCTCATAGGCATGCATATCAAGGACCTGAAAGAATCATGACAAGCATTCTGCGGTCAAGAAGAGATATAACAGAACATAAACATATCGATTAATATTTCAATATAAGCACTAATGATAGATAACAAAAATGGAAAAAGTGAGGACAAGATCCACCATGAATCACAAGCTCAAATTGCTAGGCATTATAGTCAAACGTAAGTCATCTCTTGTGACAATGCACTCCACAAATCCACTCCCAACTCTCATTTACTTCACACTAAACGAGCCTCCAACAGATGGAAGCATGCACAAGGGCAGCTAGAAAAAGATCTACAAACACTAAATCGTCCTAAATCTGAAGTCCAACATTCCACTTATTAGAATAGACCCAGACTCAGATGTCCATAACAATCAATATCCATATTCAGTTAACCAACATAACTTATCACGTCTTTTGTCCTCGGAATCTTCCAGTAGCTCTTGTTACATATAATGTCCAGTTTTGTATGACAAAGCACATGGCACCATTACCTCTCCAACATATTCTGTAAGAAACTGCCCTTCAGAAACATCTTCAAGCAATTGTAAACCATAACCTACTTACATTCTTTCCACATTTAATGGCCTTCAACTTTGCATACTTGCGTTTCTGGAACTGCAGACGGGAATTTTACATTAAAAAATGGTTAAAAATGAGATTAAACAAAAAAAACATAAAAGTAGTAACAAAAACATTGAAAACTATGAAGACCTGTTGATTTGAACAGAATTCGCCACCAGGGCAGGTCCGTTGAATGCACTCAATGTTAAGCATCCGGTTCAAGCATCCATCTCCACAACCCACTCGGCCTTCAGAAGGTGGTTTGCAATGGCATACCATTATCTGGCCAAGAATAAATCAAAAACAAAAAGGAAACAAACTAGTTAGAAGGGCCAATTCAATTTCTGCAAGGAACTTAGATACTCTTCAGTTTAACCATGAAGTGATAATCACCTAATTAAGCAGTCTCCCAACAATATTGCGTGGAAGAGAACAGAAAAAGAAATAGAAGCACAATAATATTAAAGGTTCAGTTAGGCTATTACCTCATCAATTGCCTGAGTTTTGCGCCGGCGATGAAGGAACGAATTTGACTTTATGTGTGTCCATGAAGGCTGCTGAGTTACTGTAACATAAAATTGATTAATCCAAGTTCAGAGAAAGAAAGTCACAGCGTATTTATATACTGGAAAAAAAACGTAAAACACAATGCTAGAATAACAACAATACTGTCATTGAATACCTTTCTGCTGCTTCTGTGTTGATTTAACGGAATCCAACCGTGCATCAGAATCTGCATCTTCCTCACAAGAGGCATCAGATATTTGCAACTCAGCATTGATATCTGCATTGGACTTCTCTTGTGGAATTGAGCAGTCAGCAAAATCTTTATCCATATTATCCTTGCAATACCTTAATGTAGATCAAAGACAAAATTTATCGTATAATCAAATGAGAAACACATTAAATAGTTCACATCATAATGTTAACCACCACTACCCAAGAGGTAAAAGTTTTGCTAATTCAACAACTATTTTATCTAAAGTTTATGCTGATCATCATTCTAGCATTTGAAAAGTATAAACTTCCAGCGTTTCTCCATTACTCAAAAGCGATTAGACAATGCAGCCTAAGATTAAGTCACTCTTGCTTCACCCATATGAGTCGTATTTCATCCCCTCCCAACTTTTTGTCCATTATGTAACTTCAAGTCTTTGATATGTCCAAAATAGTACTTTCATCAATTGTTGAGCTCAAATCCAACAGATGAAATATGCAATGCACATGATGAATCCTGCTGATTTACCATGTGCCTTTATTTCTTATCATTTCTAGCTTATTATAATTAAAAAGAAAAGGAAAAGGCACAACCTGTAGCAAAGTTCTGCTAGCTTTTCTTGTTCCCATAAATAATAATAATAATAAAGGAACTAATGAATTAACTGTACAAAATGTTGAAGCTTTTAACTTGAGCAAAAAGTTTATTAGAGGAACCAACATGAATCAAAACCAAGAGTATCATAAGTAGCGCATGATTTTAGTAACTTACTTCTGAGCATTATCCTAAATTCTTTACCACATACTCCTTATGATAATTATGTTCAATACTAAACCTCAGACATACTTGGTCAAGTAAATGAGCAGCTCATGCCCCTATTCCTGTATAATAACACAGTTTTGCTAGGTAGCTTAATCAAAACCACCTACAGAAACCTAGAAATCAAAATTGGATTTTTTCTTTTTTTAATGGAATCAAAATTGGGTTATACAGGTTCTCGAAAATTTTGAATGACAGTGTTATCATAAACCCCCTTGGGTGCTAATTAGCATAGCTTTTTACTTGCATGAATCTACCGTATTTCCCTCCAGCTGAAAAAATATAAATCTCAAAGGCACATCAAATGGTAACAGCCACTTATATTACAGATAAGGCATTGCCACTTATGCAGGGGCATACTAGATAACAGAAGTATACAATCAGGGCATCTTTCCAAGAAAGTACTTGATGATCATTAAAGCTCATCATTTCAATTTTTCAAACCACACTTGCTAATATTATATCTGCAAACAAACTCGTGCCTTAAAGCAATGAATTCAAAAATCCAATCAGAAACTGTTTTGGCCAGTACTTCAGCTTGAACTGCCTGTCAACCAACTTCTCCAAACAAATGACTTGCAATTTAGGCAGAATTAGATTCTAGTAACTTGAAAAAACTTGATGCTTGTTCAAATCACCGAGCCTCAACTGCATCTTTGCCTCATACAATTGTGTAGTCTGACGTACTCCCTGCTTTGAACTACTCTCACTTTATGCATATATTCTATACTTAGTTGGAAGAACAAATTGGCTCCTTGTTAACAGAGAGGTTAAACTCCTTCCACATGAAGTTATACAACTGATAGAGCAAAATGTAGAAGAATTTTTGCATAACATTTGGGTAATAAGTTACTAAATGTGTCAAGGAAACGGTTAACAACTATTGATAAACTGTTCTAGCAAGTAATTCAGAATGACCAATAATGCTTGTAATGCAAGCATAAGGAAGGCTAACCGGATTGTTGTAAGTTGTGCGGATGACAAATTCTTGAGGCCTCTTCATGTAAGACACTGAGTTTTGACACCTCAAGTCCCAAAGAAAGGTTTAGAGAAAAATCACTTACCAGCGCAAAAATATCATCAAATCATCAACTTTAGGAGACCACTTCCCACAGAAATTCCCAGTCACTTGTTTTAGGCAAAAAGTCAAAGTTGTATGAGAATTTCAATGAATTATGTTTTGGTTTCCAGAAACAGGGAGGTCAAGTTTTTTCATTTTAAAGATATTCCAAACTGACACGTTTGATATACAGATCTCTCTAATATAACATCTTAAAAGGTTTAGAATAAGACCGATAGTTTATAATCTGGAAAAAAAATTTAACTGAATATAAGAGAAAGCACAAACTAACCAAATGATAACAGTTACTGCTACCTTTGTGACTCAAAAAACTATAGTCAATCCAGCATTCAAAGAGGAGTCTTATTCTTGGCCCTTCAATTTCCCTTTTTTGTGATGTCTGGGGCATATATGGGTCCCCAAAGTGATGTAACATGCATTACTATACCCATGCATGCATGTTTTAGGAACTACCTAAATGTCCCTGAACATCCATAACATGTTTTTCTCTATATCTTTTATCTTGTGATGTATTTAGTACCCCGAGTTCCCAGATACAAAAAGCAATGGCAGGATATGCCGGACAACAGACGCTGGTTGGCACGTTGAGATCATGTTTAGGAAGGTAGCAGCAAAGGAAAAAAAATTAGTGTTATACAAATCATTCAAGCATAAAGTGCCTAGACCCGCACCAACAAAAGGTAGGACCTGTAAATTACACTTAACATTGAGTGTGCACTCATAAACAAATGAAGGCCAGGGGAAAACTGCTGTTCTTTCACCATATTACCCCAATATTTGCCAAGATGAGCCATTTCAGAGAAGCAAGGAGCATTTTCAATCAAGGTTTGTCGCATATTTGTAATGCTGAAGCAATAGAGAGCATCATCACTTACCATTTGCGGTCATTTTCTCTGATCATATCAGCAAGTGCAGCTGGAATGCGCCTCCACTTGTTACAACTATCACAACATACCCAAGCCTGAGTGATTGGTATACATTCCTGTGCAACCATGACAGGAGCCATATCTTTAGGGGGTGTATCTTCTGTCAAGCTTTTATTTCCAATGCCAGTTTCTCCAGCTTCTTCAACACCAGAAAATGGATGAAACCCAAAAAGGTGGTTATAAGAGCTATGAGGTTAATTTACATAAAGTCGAGTTCACATGCAGTAACCATAGGCACTAGGAACTATATAAGTCATCATTTATTAGTTTAGGAGAATGATCCAACAATTGCAAAAGATGGGATCACAATTAAAATATTTTACTAATGAACCCAAGCTATAGCTCTTCATACCTGTTTCACAGTGATTTTCCACTTCATTAAGAGTCTGAGCAGAGTCACCCTTCAATCCTTTGTCCTTGCCTTTTTGCTTTGCAGATGATTTCTCTTGACTGCCCTTCGTTTTAGATGTTTTCTCTCTCTTTGTCCTGGTTTCTTTCCTTGCTCTTGAACTTCTGGCAACTTTTTTCCCATTGGTGCAAGGAAGCAGTTTCTTAGACTTACTTGACTCTACTGGCCCAATCTCAGTACCAAGTCTTGGAGAAAGATTGGCTTCTATTGCACTTTCAACTTTATTCGTCTCACTAGAGATTGCGTAGTCAGTCACCTTGGAACAAGGAGGAGGTTCTTTGGGTAACCCCTCCACTTCGAATGTGTTAAGATATACATTTTCAGTTGTCGTTGATGTAGAAGCATCACTATGATAAAAGACATCACCCACTTTCTCCTTCTGTCCAAGCTTAGAGAATTCTTGATCATCAACAAGGTTTTCTGGACCAGGAGCTTCGACATTTACACTGAAATTGCTGGTCTGAGGGTGCTCATTTTCCCTCTTTCCTTCATCAGCATCCTTGCAAAGCAAACTCGAATTAGACATATTTTCAGAGGCAAGATATGCATTGATTGAGCTGAGAGTGTGATGAAGGGCATCTGGATCCTTTTCACTAATTTGCGCATCTGGAGTTAAATTGATGACTTCTGAATCAGGTGAAGTTCCTGAATCTGAGATGCGGTTATCAATTGTTGCTACCACTTTACCAACCTCAGCCTGAAAGGGAGATTCACAAAGATCACCATAAGCGTTTCCACCTGCATTTTCAGTTATATTCTCAATCGCAAGGTGGATGTCTGATGCTTTATCCAAGGTTCCATCGCAAGACTGACAACTCATACTACCATCAGCCTCTTTCTTCGTTAAATCTTGAACATCTATGGATACTTCAGGAAAAGATTCTTGTCTGGAATCCTGCTCTTTATTATCATCCATTACAGTGCTAACGTTCACCAAGGAAGCTGCTTCTCTACTGCCAAATTTAACCTTCAAAGTGATGGGACCAGTTGGGTTGAATCTTTCTCCCTTAAGCTTTGTAGAGTCTCGAGCTTTCTTGTTCTTTTCTCGCTTCCCATTGGCTCCAACTCCTTTAAGTCTTCTTGACTTTTTAGCCTTCTGTGGACTTATATCAACTGCACCATGCTGCTCTAGTACTGATGTTTCCTAGAAAACCCCATACAGTAGCACGAGCCTGTTTGCTCAAAGAACTTCGTCTCCTCCTAGTAAGCTGCAGAGAGCTCACATCTAAAAATGCACTCTTGCTGGAGGTTTTCCTGCAGTCTCTTTCTGGTCCTTTTTTCTTGTTTTCCTGGTCTAGTCTGTTCCTCCGGCTGCTCCTCCAACAAGGAGAAGAGCATGTGATATCTGGACATGTATTAGAATTGTCATCAACTCTAGTTATAGCTTTTCTTTCACCCCTATTGGATATGAATCTAAAGGAAAATTAGCATTCAAAGCATCCTCTCTTTCATCATTCCTCAATACAGATGATTCTGCACTATAATCCACTTTTACAGTATCTTTTTCTTCCTGATCTCTCATCAAAGATGAATTATCAATGCAGAAAGACTGAAAAGCAGCAACTACTTCATCGGCCCCTGAAAGATCTTCTGCATCCACTCTCTTAGATGAATCATCATCTCGCATAGAAAAGGTTCTACACGATTGCTGAAGGGTGGATAATTCTTCAAGACTAAAAGTTGAGTTCGCTGCAGAGGATTCCTCAACACAGTCATGTACATTTTCTCCTGTTGACATCCCAGCAAGCATACTGATCCACTAACCAGGCTGTGGCACAGGAGGAAAAAGGGCCTCAACAGGAAGAATGCAGCCCTGTACCAAACAAAGCACTAGGAGCCATAAAATGATGTTGACTGAACTTCACGGCCTGAAATCTGAAAGAAAAAGGAAACATAACTTATATGCAGAGTGCAAATAATAATTACTCATTTGTTAAGGAGCATAGAAAAGACATTTAAAATGAACTCAATCTAATTAATAAAAACAAATCATATCAAGCAAAAGAAAATAGTAATTCTTATCGAAAACAAAAGGTCTGCAATCATTTGAATACATGTCAATCAGCAGTTAAACATATTCCAACAACCCGGAAATGGTACCAGAGAAAAAATCCCTATTTATGAGAAAAAGAGGAGCTCAATGATGATATATCTTTTTAGCTGGTTCAATAATGCAAAATTTCAGCCTAATGCAACTATATAATCCACTCAACAATTCTAGATAAGCCCACTAGCTTACAAAACTATACCGTAACAAGCACAAAGATATCTTTTTTGAGGCAAGACATATAATACTCAATCGTATATTCTTATAAGACCTGGAGAAACCAACAGGGTGAAGGAACTCCTCTTAAGCTATACTTTATACAGAAGAAATGTGAAAGTAACCAAATCCTGGAAATAGCACCTTTAAGTACACTTAATACAGTAACCAGGAAAGTCTAGGCTTAATTGTCAACAATTTATGAGACTTCACGACTCATTATGACTCAAAAATTACTCAATTACCCATATTCTTTTAACTTTTGCAAGTGCCTGATTTTCTCAACTAATAATCTATCAATCAGCATTAGCAGTAAAACTAGAAATATCAAGCAGAACCTTTATCAGGGAAAACATACTACTTAAAATTATCATAACAAGACCCCCCCTCCCCGACCAAAAAAATTAAAGATAAGCAATCTGCTCTTACTAAAAAGGAAGAAAAAATATCTAAAATGAAACTGAGGACAAATTAAATTCAACATCGCAGTTAATACTGATACAAATATGCATAGATAGACCTCTACACAGAAACTCCCTACCTAAATGAATATTTTAATCAAATACTCTCTTACATTAACCCTTAATCCAGCTTAATAACATTATTTTCACATAATTCAGCCAAAATTAAGTAAATAATCACCGCGAAGACAGAAGCCCACAAACTAAATAAAAGCAAAAAACCAATTGTTGAGATTCCAGAGCAATGCAGATACCCAGAAACATCCATAACGATATATCTTCATCGTAAAAGTTAAGTAGCAGTCAAAAGGGGGCAAAAAAATCAAAAAGAGGAAGCACAAAAACCCTAACTCGAAAGCAGAACAAAACCCTAAAATTCCGAGCTCGAATGCCAATGCAGATAGCTACATTCATTGAGATAAACACACACCGACATTTTAACAAAAACGAAAACAAAAAATCAACGAAACCAAGTACTTAATAAACAGACGAAAAAAAAACAGAGATCATACCTTTGAAGAAACGGAGACGAAGGAAAACAAAAACCTGTTGATAATCAAAGGCATAAATAATTCAATCAATATAGCTGTCGTTACTTGTGCCTGTGAAGGGGGTGGTGGACGGTGGTTTTGGGTGGGGCAAGGGGAGGAGGGCGGTGGTTAGAATTAGGGAAAAGACAGAGAAAAAAGAATCGCTTGGCGCTGTCAGCAAACGGTTTTATACGAGGGGAGGTGTCTTCCTTTCCTTCCTTTGCAGCGATTCTTGGAAGAGTCCCATCTACTATCTAATATCTTTGTCAGACAGCCGGTTTTGATATTTTGTTTTTCTTTTTTATCCCTTTTCTTCTATTTTTCTTCTTTTTGTCTTTTATTTTGAGGAAGATATGCTTTGGGAAAACAATTAAGAAGGAAAAGAACAAAGATGATGAGTACATTGTACACTTGCTATTTGAGGCGCAACTGTACAACATAGTTCGTGGCAATAAAATGTACTCTACATTTTTTACGATGAATTTTAGAAATTTGTTTTACGGTCGGATTAGCTTATATCAAACTTCGGTGACTATAAATTTTGAATTGTCTAATGCGATAATGGTTGCGACCTCTAAAATATCATATCAATTTCGATGGTAAATTAATTCACTTTACGGCTAGGATTAATTTATATCAAACGTCAGTGAATCTTGACTTTGAATTGTCTAATGTAGTTATGGTTGTGACCTCTAAAACATCACATCGATTTCGACGGTGAATTAATTTGTTTTACGGTTGGGATTGACTTATATCAAACGCAGTGAATCTCAACTTTGAATTATCTAATGCGGTTATGGTTGTGATCTCTAAAATATCATATCAATTTCAACGGTGAATTTTTCATATTGGTGGCTCTAAAGAACAACAAAAAAATGCAAATACTTGAAAAGGGTGATTGGTGGAGACGTGGGATTGAGGAGTAATTTGGTAGTTTCCTATCAATAAAAATGGGTTTGGCATTTTTGTTGTGTAGTCATGAGTATTTGGATAGAGTATTACTTAAAATAATTATCGTATAATATTTTTTATGATGTGATGCATGTCAGATAAAATAGTGGTTGGTAATATAAAAATGTAGATTGAAAAATGTGTTTATGATACAAACAATATATTATTCGACAAAATTGAGCTATTCAAACATTATTATGATAAATTGGCAAAATATTATTATGATACTATTGTATTTGCTAAATTTGTAATTATATTTAATTGCTCTATTTGTTAATGATTTATCATCATTTGGAAAGCTTGTGATTGGGTGCAAGTATTGATCATTAGTAAACAGAACGGAAATGATTGGAGTGATGAAATTGCGTGATAAGACGGATTGGACCATCTTGACTAGAGCAGGCGGCAAGTGGATTACAGGATAATTAGAGGGGTAATTTTGGGATTTGGGAGGTCAATGGTCAATAGTTTAGGTATTTTGATGCCATTTCTTATTGAAGTCTGTGCTTTTTGAATAATTTAATGATAGGATTAGACATCCTTATGTTCTAGCATGAGATTGGTGGATGGTACCTGTAAGAACAATGGCTCAAATAAGTATTTTGGATATTTATCTAAAATTTTATTTTAACTTACCGTAAAAGTTGTAAGAAAAATTTTTAAGATGAAAAACTTTTTTTCGTTTCTTTTTTCTTTTTCTTTCTTTCTTTTCTTTTCTTTCCTCTCGTCTCCTTCTCCCTTTCTCTCTCCCTCCCCTTGTTGAAGGTTGCAGCAGCAACAACAATTTTTTTTCTCTCTCCCTCTCTTTCCCCTCTCCTCCTTTCACCCCTCCCTCTCCCCCGTCACCTCTCTCCTCCGCTCGTCAGCAGCAACCAAAAAAAAAAATTTTTTTTTGCTTTTTCCTTTCTCCCTCCCTTCCCCCTCTCCTTCCCTCTTCCGGTCACCTCTCTTCCCCCTCCCTCCCCTTCCCCCCTGCGCAGATCATGCGACCAAATTTAGCTACATGGCTAGATTGTGCAGGGGTGGAGGGGAAGGGTGGTGGGGAGAGAGAGGTAGCGGGGAAGAGGGGAGAAGAGGGAAAGAGGAGAAGAGAGAAGGAGAGGGAGAGGGAGAAGAGAAAAAAAAAAAAAAAAAAAAAGCTTACCTCTGACGATGCCAACACCAGTGCCGAAGGTGGTGGTGGTTGACGTGGGGGAAGAAGAAAAAGAAAGAAGGAAGGAAAATTTTTTTTTGTGTTTTTTAAGTATTTTGAAGTGTGTAATTTAAAATTTTTGAGAAATTTTTTGATATTACTGCAACTAAAATTGTTTAAAAACTGGTAGAAAACAAATTTGACTAAAAACTCATTTGCCAAACAGGCTCAATGGGTGGGAAGAATAAAGTAGTGTGAAGACGGGAGTCTTTTTTTTTCACTTAGTAGTTTTCTCTTACTAGAATCTTAATATTTTCTTTCTCTTTTTTTTCTTTCAGGTGGACATCTGGACCCTCAATACAAGATTTCAGGTCTTGTTACTGAGAAGACTGATGTTTACAGCTTTGGCGTGCTAATGCTCGCGCTCTTTACTGGAGAAACAGATGCAATGAAGTATCGCGAAGGAACAAGAGAGCGAATTCATATCCGGGATTATGTTAAAGACTTCCTTGTGACTCATCAAGTCAAAGAAATTGCTGATCCGAGAATGTTGGAAGATGAAGGGAACAATAAGGATGAGATGGAGCAGCAGTTGCTTGATTTTCTTGATCTTGCTTTGAGATGCACAGAATATGAGGGAATAAATAGGCCAGATATGATTGATGTTGCAAAAGAGCTGCGCCAGATGGAGAGGTCTGTTCGCAATACTTAGCTCTAGTGCTTTACCAACATTACTGCTCTGTGTGCTAGGTTCTGGGGTTTGAATTATGCTTTTTCCACTTATATAGAAAAGGCTAGTTTTTGGTATTTGGCAATTAAGGGGGTGTAAAAGATTCCAAAACTACACTATAATAATGTTTGTTGCCCTAAAACTGCTGATTTTCTGATGAACGTGTTACCATGGGAATAAGTTCATTCTTCCATAAATTTTTTGGCTACTGATATACACAAGCAAAGTAGATGATTGAAGATCAACCAGAAGTAGGACAAGAGGAACAGATGAACTGACGCGTAATAGGTTGCAAATAATGTCAAAGTATTTTGGAAACTAATTATTATAAACCAATAAATGATTCGATCCCAGAAATTGAAAATGCTGGATTCAAGGCTCACAACTAGTGAGTTTGTTTGCTTTTTGGGAGAAATGAGGCTTATTCCCTAGTGTTTGGTACTCGCTCGATTTTAGTCTGTAGAGTTTCGGTAATAACAAACTTAGTCCTTATGTTTTCAATTTGATGCAAATTCAGACGGATTTTTCCCAATTACTCACCTGTAGTCCTGTGTTGATAAATTGTATTAAGAAAAAAAAAGATAGCAACTAACTCTAAATAGTAAGAATAATGCGCGTGATGGTACATAGTAATTTTAACCTAAAAAACCAGAAAAAAAAAAAAACAAAGAGATTTCTTAAACTATAAGTTGAATGTTAGAATTCTTTCCTTAGAGTAACGGGATAGGAAGTGAAAACGAGTTCTTCATTAATTAATTAATTAGGAGACCGACTGGTTTTATCTTTGTACTTTAACAAATTTCTATTTTCTTTTCACTTTCTCTTGATTAACTCCTTCCTCATGTGGAGGTTATTAGTCCTTAATCTGTTATTTAAGTCACCTGCTTCTTTCCTTTTTGTCTTTAAATTTATTTTAACAAACACATGAATTTTTAAATTCTTTTTTCTGCTTTCGCTTGGTTAACTCGTTACTCACGTGCAGGTTATTATAGCCTTTAATTTGTTGTTTAAAGTCGCCTACTATTTTTCTTTTTTGTCTTTAAATTTATTTTAAAAAATACATGACTGCACATAACTGTCCTTGGAGAAATATCTTGAATCTGCTTCAAGTTAGAAATATCGGAGACAAGACTTGTTTTTACCAAAATTTTAGGGACCAAATACCGCAGATACTAAACATTGGGACCAAAACTGTGTATTTCTCCCTTAATGAGCTTTCATGAAGTTAGGGTAATATTATTGAGTTCACTACTTATCCCTGTAGAAGCTTAATCTAGATTCTCACCAATATGCACTGATAGAAATATTAATAATTTTGTTTGTTTTTGGTACACGTACAAGTCAATTTCAAAGGCATGTATTTTTCATTTTCTCAATTGACTTTTCTTCTTCTTCTTCTTCTTCTCTTTTCCATATCATCTCCAAGTACAAGAAATTCATGGAATTCTCGGGCTCATAGGAATTTCTGATCTTTCCTGATCTTGTCCAAGTTCAAGAAATTCGTGGAACACTCGTTCGTGGCTGACAGGGGTTTTCCATGAGTCTTCTTCGGAATTTCAGCGCAAGATCCTCTTTTAATGTCCTGTGTCCCACAGCAACTGTATGTTCAAATCGAATGCCTTTAACCTGTCCAATCATAACTTTTTGGGCGTCATATTCATCTCCTTCCAAGTCTTTGCGTTACAAAGCGCAATTCATATCCAAATCACACCTGGTTGTGGAGAATCCGGAGATGACTGATACAGATTCTAGACGTGACTTTTGCCTTCACTTGAGATGTTGGGTATTGACTTCTGCCCCTCGAGGCCTTAACAATCCTCACATGGACAGTCCATATCATTCTAAAGCTCATGCAGGCTTTCCAACCCAGTTAATATCATCCTAACAAGGGCTCTACTAGTTTTACTTATGGCTCCCATCATTACGTAGGATGCGGAGAATTCTAAAGGTGGTTCGTATAGACTTTAGACGTAACTCTCACTCTTAGCTTAGGTTGAAGTAGTGCTTAACCTCAAATAATACTGAATCTTTACCCCTTGTGGAGAATTTATTGTCAATAGGCGTTAGACTGGGCATGAAGAGACAAAGAGAAAAAAAAAGGTTGATTTCTAAGTCGACTATAAAGTTTGAGAATTCTGTTTCCATATTTGTGGAAACAAAATAAAACTGTCAATATTTGTTTAATTTGGACCAAAATAGAAATGTCGGTGTAGGTAATTCCTCCGGTGATATTTTATCGCCTTAAACACAAAACAAAAAGGGTAGTGCAGCAAGGGATTGGGACCCAATAACAAGGTATGGTCACTAATACTTGGCCAATTAATAGTGCAGAAATTTAAAACGTAAGGTCCAAACAATGTCTCGTAATTTTTGATACAACTCACATCTACGTAGTTTTGAACAATGAATGAATATAGTTTTCCTGTTAAAAAGATGCATAAGTTAATTTGTGATAGATTACAACTCCTTTGAAATGAAATATGCTGTTAAGAATGATTGCTAGTCAATCATTCGTACCCCTCTTCCAACATTAGTAAGCTTTGGGTTTGTAGTTTTCTGGTTAACCATCCTATCAAAACTATAAAAAGCCCCAAGTGTTAACCAAATGTAAGGTAAGTGAGCTGCCCTCTTGGGTTCTGGTGGATCAAGGGTATGAATAGTTGTCAGTAACAACCGTTTTGAACGATATAATATTTTTTGAATAAGGTGTAATTCTACGTAAACTATTTATAAAACTTAATAATAGAGACACAATTATTATATATGAAACCTATATAAATAGTAAGAAAATATCATACCTTTGTTGTAAGAATGCACAAAAAGTTTACATAGAATTACAAGACATTCAGAAAATGTTACACTGTTCAGGTGCTACACTTCCGGTTCTAGTCACATATATGTACGATAGAGTATACCTCAAATGAAGAATAGCGAGGAGGTAGTTGCCTTGTCTTTCTTTAGAGTTTTAGTTGGTCAAGTAATCAACTGTTGTCGTTGTTTGAAGCTGCATATCTTCTTGTGATCAATTAATTGGTTGTGTCCCAGATGTAGTGTAGTGTATTTGCTAATAATACATATGAGTTTAAGTATTATTTGTGTTCACTGGGCCTACCAGTATGAGAAAATCAACAGGTAAAACAGCTTTGGATAGAATAATTGGTTTAGGTTGCAGTAAAGAAAAAGAAAGGCGCAATAATAATATTTCTATAGGGCAATTAGCAACATGCATTATTAAAAAGAATAAAATAAGAGAATATAAAGAATCCTCTAATGCTCTTAACTCATTAAAGTACTTTTGTTTTCTTAATATAGAAAAGCTTACAAGTAAACTAAACTCCCTAAAGTATTGAATTTGTTCTTGTAGTATTCATTTTTATTAAATGAAAAATGTTATCAAATTACTCGTAGGTACATAATGTATTGAATTTCTACTAATTATATGGGTAAAAACATAAATTTTCTACCATCTGATACCTGCAATAGTGCAATGTATATTTTACTTTGGTCAGGAGGGATGCATTGATGAATTGGCAAGGCAAAAATAAAATTTTTAAAAAAATTTTATGCCTAAAAGTGAAAATTTCCTTTGGCAGGTAGATCCACCATTGTACATGTGTACACCAATGCTCTTCATAAGTAACAAAAGATATAACGAAAATAAAGGATCCAAAGACTTGCAAACACACCAAAAAAAAAAAAAAAGTAAAATTTTACGTCAGCCATAAAATACAATGTTGACTGACTAGCTAGAAGCATGATTCATCAACTGCACAGCAATTTCGAGCAAATAGCTGTAGAGCTTCTCTGGTTTTAGAGATCATGAACATATGATCTGCTCCATTTATTACAGTAGCCAAATCAGGCGGATTATTTTGTAGTACCATCCACCTTTGGAGATCTGGTGGTATTCCCTTATCTTCTCTGGCAACAGGACAAGCTCTAGCAATTAATCCAAACTTCTGCGTTGTAACCAGAAATTGTCGTCTCAATTCATCATCGTTGAAGAACTTTGCCTCTCTCATCAACAAAGATGCGTCTTTCACTATAGTTAGCCCCAAACAGGAGAGTCAATGGAGGATCAAAAGGGATTCCATCTGTTGTAAATTTGCTGTCTTCGTAAATATCTATCCCCAGATTGTAGTGCACCGCGAGTTTGTATGTGCTCAGTTCAGGTCCAAGCATAAACGCTGCAACAGATGCCGCATAATGCTACTTTTTTAGGAAATCTTTCCATGGCAGAGGAAACTGCACAGCCACTACCTATGCTGTGGCCAACAAGAATGACCTTATCATTGAGGGATAGAGCCTCTAGATAGCTATATTGATGTTCATGATGGTCATCAATAATGTCAAGGGCCAAATGGCCAAGAATTCAAGAAGATCAGTAGTGGTGTTTACATTGATAGTAGTGAAAGTTTTCTTGCCATCCTCAGCTTTTCTTTGAATTTGCATATTGTACACTGCACATAATTGTTCAATGTTATGCTGGGTTTGGTATAAAAAAATCTTGTCATTATGTGTTATCCCTATTTTGCCTATGCACGATGGAGCACTATACAACAGAAATTTGGTACTGCTTTCTTTCTAATTCACTTCACTATTTTGGTGTTTGGCACATTCTCTGGAAACTTTTTCTAAGTTTAGGTTTGGAATCCGTAGTGTTTTGTTAGATCCGCTTGAAGCCCTCATTTTCCCAAATTTTTGTTAGATCTGCTCTCTTTTGTTGGCAATTGAGTTTGGATTTAACTCAAAGACTTGGTAAGACAAGACTAGTGTATTGATAAAGGAGAGATTAGGGTTTAGGGTCCAATGTATTCCAAATTAAAGTTTAGGGTGCAAAGTAAAAATTAAGTTCAAGTTAAAGGATATAAAGTGGAATTAGTCTTTTTACTGATCCGCAATTGCTATACTTGTACATTATGTGCACTCTCCTTAATTAATTCCGCTAATTTTGCTTACCATGTAAATGATTGAACTTAGAGATTAAAAATTCAAATAATGTTATTCAATGTTTGAAATTCTTAGTGCAAAGAAAATCGAGATGTAGCTCTCGCCTTTATGTCAAATTTGATCAAATTAGTACTTAAACTTGCACAACACTTGGTCTTGTTCAAGAGTTTTAGTTGGATAAGTAATCAAAATCTTGTTGCTTGAAGCTGCATGTCGTCTTGTACTCAATTGGTTGAGCCCCACAATTGTATTATATTTGTTAATACTTGATAATAACAATCATATTGAATTTGAGTGTTATTTGTCTTCACTGGGCCTACAACTATGAGAAAAGCAACATGAGGTATGCCTCAGGTTCAGATCAGCTATGCCTCAGGTTTCTACAACACGCAAGCAAAGTTCGTTGAAGATGACAAATATTGATGGGTTCAAAACATACCAACATGAGGTAGTCAGTCTCACTAAAAGTTCTATGCTAAATGCGTGAGTTGTCTTATCAACAGTAGTGAATATGGATCGGTTGTACAATAATTTTCAGCAACTCTAATGGTCTTTGGTTTGTCAGCCGGCAAGAAAACTCGTTCGTGTAGTCGGGTTCATGCGAAGTGGTTCGTTGCAGACTGATTTTGATGCATGCCTTCCTCTGGACAGGGTTAACGAATGCAGTGGGTTCTTGATAATGATTTTTCTGACAATACCACATGAAATGCTTTCTTCGGATGTGAAAAGGTTTTACAGCTTTCTTCGGACCTCAAAGTCTTGGAATCCGGTTGTGGCAGACAAGGCTGAGTGGGTTGACTTACTTATCCTTCCATCATGTTTCTATGTTGTGTAATTCGTCTGGCCCCAAGTCATCGAAATAATTGGTGGAGTAGTTGTCTTCATCTGATGATTCTAATGTTAATTCTTCTTCATCTTCTTCGTTGAGATAATCTGCTAAATGCCTGTCAAAAATTTCTGGATACTTGGTGCTGGCAATAAAATCTGACAAAAGTCTGGAGAAAAGATATAAAAGGGCACATTGAAAGATATTTCAGTAGAATGCACTGAGAAACTGCGTGATTGTGGTTTCACGTAGAAATCAACCTTATATGTGTACCAAGTGTTTGTGATTCTGTCATATGATTGTTATATTATCTTGATGCTCTGCTGCAGTGTTAAGTTGGAGTTAGTGAATTCTTGTCCTGTTTGGACTGTCATTTTCTGTAGAAAAATTGCGTCTTTTTCTCTGATCATATTTTTTTATTATCTTTTTCTCTTACATACATCAAATCGTTACAGTAATTTTTTCATGAAAAATCATGAAAAATACAATCCAAACGGGCCGAGAGAGGCATTTTTCCATTAGCTGTTTCCAATGTCAGAACAGATGAGAAAGATATGCACAACGTCAACCACCATTGCCAATTTGTCATCACCATCACCTCAACCGTTTTGGCAGCTGTCTGTCAAGTGTCAACTAGATACACATGATATTTTACAATTGGTGGAATAAAACTCCTTCGCCATCAATTCTAAGTGCATAAAATCATTTGATAAAGCCATATATATATATATATATATATATATATTTGCAATGGCAGATGCATTATCTTATGTCCACCTTTTTCTAACTTTTGAAGACCACAAGGAGCCATCCTCCAAAATTGCTAATAAAGTGCTCCTCATATTAAAGCTATAGAAATTTAGGGGAAAAACTAAGTAAAGTCAACCAAAAATCCAACATCAAAGAAGAAAAAATGTAAAGAAGTATTTTTAAGATCTCTAGAGCCTAGTCTTTCCTTGGCTGAGTATTTTTCCTGAGTCCAATCTTGAAAAGCAATAGAAGCCTCTAGCAATATCGATCACACGCATTCTGATTCGGGTAAACGCATTTAAAAACTGAACACGGACCCTACTTTGTACCACGCAACTCAGTTTATTGGGGGGCTCGTGTTCGAGTCTATTAAGGTCCAAACTTTGAATCAGGAATCCTGGTCCCAAAAAATTGCCCAAGAAATTCAAAATGGCTTGGCTCCAGAGTCTTGAGTTATCCACCACCAAATACGTGTTTCACAGAAATTACACGTTACTCACAATGGCGTAAGAGATGACAAAGGATAAGGTCATGAATAAGGGTACAAATCAAGTCGAGTCGAGATTAAGCAGTACACTATTTCAATTCGACTCGAATTAAAAAACTTGGATTCAACCTCAATCTCTAGCTCATTGAACTCTTAAAAGTCGAGTTTGAACTCGAATTCGATTTTGTTGTGCCTTACTCAAGCTCGAGTTCGAACTCGTGCAAATTGAGTCAAGTCAAACTTAATTCAAGCTCAATTGAGCATAATTGAATCTAAGAAACGTAAATTTATATTTTATATTTTAAGCAAGAGACAAATCGTCATTTTATACTGCAAATAAAAAAATTTTAAAAAACTTTTCTATGTAAAACTCAATTGAGTTTGATTAAATTCAACAAGTTTTTTTAGCTTTGCATATTAGGCTCGAACTTAAACTCGAACTTAGTTAATGTGACCGAACAAGCTCGCCAACTAGTTGATTGAGCTCGACTCATTTGCCCCTGTCCTTGCTTTGCAAGTGAAGCATAGCAACTATGCACTTCCTACCATTAGAACTCTACGTTTTGAATGTGAACTTTGAGATGCGAATGTCATTATGATAGGATTTGTTTTACAGAAATTAGTCATTTGAAATCATGTAAGATAATTTAAAAAAAAAACAAAGTTAGTTTTCAAACTAATATAATTTTAGGTCATATCAAAAAATTATTAGACATATTACGTTAGTTATAGATTTATAAGATAATTTTTTCCAATTTCCAATAAAAAGATATTTTACGTCATCGAATTATAATTTATACTCAATTAATTAGAGCAAAAAAGTCAAGTGATACCATTCACTAATTGATTGTTTTGGTATATCATACTTTAGGAACATCTTTGGCACAAAAAATACCGAAACAAATACTTGCAATGTGGAATGCATGTACTCCTATGCCAGTCTTTACAAGGACATCAACTGCGAACATGAAAGATTACGTGTTTGAAATGCAACCTTTTGTACAAAATGCATTTACGTAACATTGATTAATGCTTGTAACAATATATGCAAAAAAATGCACCTTCCTCATGAATTTTGTTTTGCGATGCATACACTTTTTTAGAAATTTTCCAAAAAAAATAAAACATACAACTTATGTATTGTTGACTCTCAATATAAAAAGAGCCCTTTGAGAGCAGCTCATGCGCTAACCACAACATCCAATTAGCAAATTCATAAGCTAAGGAATAAGGATGGCAACAAAAGTTTCGCCACCATCGGCACAACTATTCCTGTTGCTTTCTTTGATTCTTTGGCCCTCGATATCTGCAAAATCAGGACACTTTGTGCTCGTTCATGGTGCTTGTCACGGAGCATGGTGTTGGTATAAGTTGGTATCTCTCCTGCAAGATGCAGGGCACAAAGTTACAGCCCTGGACTTAGCTGCCTCCGGGATTGATACAAAACAGGTGTCAGATTTGCACACCATTGACGACTATCATGAACCTCTATACTCCTATCTAAAGGCTCTATCGCCCGATGATAAGGTCATTCTTGTTGGCCACAGCATGGGTGGCTTCGCAGTTTCCTCCGCCATGGAAAGATTTCCTGAAAAAATCGCATTTGCAGTATTTGTTGCAGCACAGATGCTTGGACCTGAGCTGAGTATATACAAGCTCGCGGAGCACTACAATCCGGGGATGGATACATATGGAGACAGCAAATTTACCACAGATGGAAACCCTTTGGATCATCTTAAAACACTATATCAACATTCGCCGCGTCAGGATTTAGCACTTGCATCGTTGCTGATGAGAGAGGGCAAGGCTTTCAATGATGATGAATCAAGACGACAACTTCTAGTTACAAAGGAGAAGTTTGGATCAATTGCTAGAGCTTACTTTGTAGCCGGAGACGATAAGATAATACCAGTAGATCTTCAAAGGTGGATGGTACAAAATAATCCGCCTGATTTGGTTAGAGTAATAGACGGTGCAGATCATATGGTCATGATCTCTAAGCCGGAACAGCTTTACAACTATTTGCTTGAAATAGCTGTGCAGCTCAAGAACTATGCTTCTATCTAGTCTGTCGACATTAGACGTTTAAGGCTTCCTTTTGCATATGGTCTTCGACATTTCTTGATGCGTTTGCAGGTGTTTGGACCCTTTCCCGGATACCTTTATGGTAGGAACCCGTTGACCGTGTCTATGGTAGGAAGGCCTTGTCTATGGTAGGAAGGCCTCCAGAGGCCGACACGTGTTGCAGGTGGATGGATTGCAAACGGAGACGTTAAGCCGTGGAATCGCGCGTGGAGATGCAACGTTAACATGTTGTCCGCGGCTGCAAGGTAAAAGCACAGGTTCGAATATTGCCTATTATATGAATACAATAGTCAATTGTTTTGAAAGACTATTGTATTCATATAATTTCAATTGTCTGCCTAGATATTGCCAACTAATTAAAGATAACTTTTATTTAACATAGCAAATACATACTTACAAATGAAGATGGTAATAAGAATACATAAAATAATTAATTATACCAAAAGTTATCCTTAGCGTTTGGGTTTTACATTCTTATTCAAATCTAATCAGGGTCAAATTTGGGTTAGATATATACAAATTAAGTAGTATTTTAGGGTCGAATGTTCTATATTTTTTTCTTAAATTATAATGTTACTTTTTTTAAAATATTTGGTAGAATTGGTGTTGTTATTATCATATTTATCAAAAAAAAATTTCCACGTTAAAAGGCTAGTAGTACTTTTTTTTTTATTTAGATTTCATGAATGGTACCATTCTTTATTTTTTAAATCCACGACATTATTTCCTTTTGTTTTCTGTATAATTTTGCTATTTTACTTAGGATTACTAAGTTAAAAGATAAAATATTATTATTTACTTTTTTACTTTTACTAAGTTTGGTAATGTTTTCTCTTTATTTACCTTCCCACTAATAAATTTCAAACCAAATTCCTATATAAGTGGAGCCACTTCTTACTTATTTAAATTAGAAAGGCATGGAATGCACTTCTTACTTAGAAAAATGTTATTTGCACTCCATTTTTTATTATTTGTAATTCCACCATTTGTTTTATCATATAGTCTAATTAATGAAAACTATATGATCAAAATGATTATTGAAGTGTGAATAACAAAAATATAGTGTAAATAATCTTACTTATTTAAATTAATAAGAAAGCATGAAAGGATGTCATATTTGTTACCTCTTGTTATGGTCTTATAGAAGTTTTAATTGGAGTAGAATCATAAATAACGCAAGGTAATCGAAAACGTGATAGGTTGAAGTACAAATAAGATAACATGCACATTAACCAACAATTTGAAATGAAATGATTTTAAAAAGTAACTAACAATTTCAAATGTGAAGAGTAGATGTGGAAGTTAAGAGAAATATATTTTATAAATTAAATTAAATGTGAAATGCTAGAAAAATAGAATTGGTAGTGGGAAGACGTGTGAAGGCTTGTTGCTAAAAATTCTTTCTCAAATTTATATATATATAGATAGATATAGATGTCTGTTTTTTAGTGGTTCAATCTCATATTCATGAACTATCTGCAGAAAAAAAAATTCTGGACTATACTAATTTTGTTATATCAACTCTGTTATTCTTATTAGTGTATTAATTGTTACGCTATTTCTCTCATTTTGTTGGGTCTACATTAATACAAGTGTAATTGTTATTATGTCTCGTGTCCCAGAAAATACATAATATCCTATTCAGGTGGATACGTGCAACAGATAATCAAATTGATGGTAAAAATTTAGAATGAATAAGTTGCTTTTGCATAACGGTTGTAAAGGTTTCTTGAGACTTTATGAATTAGGTGTCTTGCGTTTGCAAAAAGAATTTCAGAAGATTTTTTGTATTGGAAATGGAGTTAAAACTTGCTATAGGTTACTTTCCTGTATTTCAATCTTATCGTAAAGGGTAATTTTCTGTTGAACCTAATTTTTTTCTGATTATATCCAAC